GATATTGGCATGGGAACTCCAATTATCTTCATGGTGGTCTACTTATTTACATGCATAACAATCACTGAAAAGTGGCAGATTGGGTGTCCCATGGGATAACGTTTCCTATTCCTTATGAGTGTGTGGTAAAATAACTTTTTTGTTCGCCTCAACAAGAAAAAATTGAGCCATCCGTCTTTAACTATAATTTATTGATCTCTGGTATGATTTGTAGTGAGAATATCAAATGTGAGTATGGCACATTTTCTCTAATAAATGCAAGGTGTGCCAAAAATCTTAGCGCAGTTGGGTGTTTCAGTAAGCTTAAGTTTAAGGGTTAGCTTGGCATGTTAAACTGCACTGTGACTTTTGGGACATCTTGTGTATCAATTGATTCCCTGCTTCTTGGGGAGTTTTCCCATTTAGAGGACCAATAGTTAACTTCAGGTCTGTCAATCTTGAATGAGTGATTCTACTAATTCCCTTCTCTGCCACCCTCCCTTTCTTTATAATTCACTGATCACTTTACTGTCTAATTTTTGGGGAAGGTGTTCAGTCATCACCAGAGGATAGTATGAAATGATACAGATGTAAAATCTGCAGAAATGTTGTCCCACTCATTTACATCAGCAAACATTTGACTTTTATGTTGTGGTCTCTATTTGATGATTCAGAAGAAAACTAATTACTAACCATGTCCTGGGCAAGACATTTAAGCTCTCTTAACCTCAGTTTCCTCAGCTAAGAAATTGAAGTAATAATAGCATTATTTCACAAGATGGTTGGGATGATCAGATGAGATATATGTAAAGTGCTTTACAAACCTAAATGCTTATGAACCTCAGTTTCCTCATCTGTAAAATGGGGATACTAATACTTCACCTGATTGTTGTGAAGAAAATGCTTTGTAAACTTTAAAGTTCTACTATTTATTATCTATTATTACATGAAAACTATTATTATTGCATTAGAAATCGGAGACATTGCTTCCCCCCCCCCCACACACACACACACTGCTCACTGCTGTTCTTTTTTTGGCTATTTTCAGGGGTGAAGATCCCAGTTCACCCACAATTTGGATAGCATGAACTAAGCTGGTGGGAGGAGAAGGACTTTACTTCCCACTCTCTCTTTTACCCCAGCTCTGAGAAATTGGCCTGGGAGTGTTTGTTTCTGTTCTGTGACATTTGTCTTCTCACTTTCAGGTGCCAGAGATGATTATCCGTGGGGAAATCCCAGCCATGACCACCTTGGAGCCAGATTTGTGGATAAGCCCTGAGAAACCAGGGTGCCTGGGACTTGAGCCTGAGAAGGATTTTGGACTTGGAATTGGGACTGTGCTCCATAGGAACCAAGCTAAGCTACGAACCCAATCCTCTTTCCCTCCTCAGAGACTGAGATGGGAAGGTAGCCCCAGACAAAACCAACAGAGATGAGCAGAAAGCAGAGCGGCAGCGACACCTAGTGGTCATACCTGGGAATAAGGCGTGTAAAGCCCAATTCCATCCCTCCTTCCCACCCCATCTCCAATAACGACAAATGATGATGATAACTAACATCTATATGTCTCTTTAAAGTTTTCAAAATTTTGTACATATGTGTGTGTAGACATACGTGTGTGCATATACATGCGTGTATATATTCATATGCATATACGTGTTATGTACATTATGTAATATCAGTTGATTTTGACCCCCCATGAGGTAGGTGTTATTACAGTCCCCATTTTACAGGTGAGGAAACTGAGGCAGCAAGTGATTTTTTTTTTTAATATAGCTAGCTAGATGGATGGATGGAGGTGGAGGGGGGAGAGGGATAGAAGGATAGAGAGAAAGAGAGAAAGGGAGAGAGAGGCAAGGACAGAGAATGATAAAGGGAGATGGAGAGAGAGAGAGAAGGATAAATAGATGGATTACATAATGTATTAACTGCTTACTATATTTAAGACACTTGCTAAGCACTGAGAATACAAAAACAAGAAAAAAACACAGTTCCTACTCTCAAGAAGCTTACATTCTAATATGAGAAGACAAAACACAAAGGAGAGATGGGAAGGGGAGAGGGAAGGACATTCTTGCAGGGGCAAGGCAGCTAGTGTGGAGATACAGCAGCGAATTACTAATTAATTTATGAAATTACAAAATGGGGGCAGGTCTGCCTGGTTCTTTGGGCACTCACCAGGAAAGACCACTATGACAGTGAGGGTAAGGTTTCAATCACACTTTAATAAGGGACAGAGGGTGCAGTGGGGAACAGGTGCAGAAAGTACAAGAGACAAGTGACAAAAGGGGTAGTAATGGGGACAGGAGATGAGGTAATGGAGGAAGGTAGGCAGTGCGAGGAAGAGGATGGAGTGGGGGAGGGGCAGGGAGTATCACTCATGTAACCATGGATTAGAGTTGGGAATATTCAGCAGCGTGGACCCAATGGAAATAGATCCAAGCTGGGGGAGGGGGAGGGGAAGGATTTGAAGTCTCGTTTTTATAGGGGGTGGAACCTACTCTTACCATGCCACCTTGAGGTTAACTCATTAACATATCCAAATCATCCCAAAGATCTCAGTAAAACTTTAAAGTTGACATATCCGTGTCATCCCAAAGTTAGCAACACCATTTCGTGTTCTGCCGGCCTTTACTGTGGGTATCTGGAACTTATCCGAGCTTTACATATCATAGGACCAAAGGACCCTGACAGCAATGCTTAGTCGGCTCCCCCTGATTTAGTTCATAGTACCAGGATGTGACTTATGGTTAATATATGATAAGTTTGCCAACATGCTCCTTTGATCTTTGGGACGGTTTGTGTGCGATTCCTAGGTTTCTCTTTGCAATCTTATTTCCTTCTACTATCCCCTTATACTAGCTACTTATTAACTTACTATACAGAGTAGAAGGTGGGGGTGGGGTTCGTCAGGTGGAACAGAACAAGACAGAGTTTTTAACCCAAACAACTCAGAGTGTGAGCCAGGAGGGAGAGCAGTGTGGCTGGGCTTCCTCATGGTGGGGAAGTTCTAGATGGGGACTTACCGATCACTAAATTAGCCTCAGGTTAGAGTTGTCCCCAGGGGGCCTGCAAGTGGAATAAATTGGAGATTAAGTTATTTCCCTGGGGTTCAGAGCGCTGGCAAGTGTGTAAGGTAGGATTTGAAGTCTTCCTAGTTCCGGATCCAACCCTCTATCCACAGGACCACATGGGTGTATCTCTAACAGTGCACACCTCCCAACTCTTTGTCTCCTGGCCCCACTCTGGATGGGAGACTCTGGATGGGAGGTGAAACTGAATAGGATTCACAGAACCACAGAGCATTAAAGATGGCTGATCAGGCCACTAGGGACTGTCTTTTGCTTCTTTTTGTATCCCCAGCATTTAGCACAGTGTCGGGCGTATCATAGGTGCTTGATGTTTTTGACCTGATTAATCCAACCTGCTCACTTGACAAAACTGAGTGACTTGATCAAGGCCATCCATCTACCTCTCAACTCCCCATCCAAGGCAGCTTCTCTGAGAATCTTAGCAGCTATGAATGGAAATGAGGACTCCTGCTTCCTGCCATAGAGCCTTGGCCAACAGCTCCATCTTAATGTCCCTGTCTCTTGCTAAGGGCCCTCCTTAACAGGGAGCCCAGGATTCCACCTGCACAAGGGATTGTGAAAAGCAGTTTTAGTTTGGGCTGAGCCAGCTGAGCAAAGCAGGGGAAGTGTGGTCTGGATCAAAGAGTCAGAAGGACACCACCCTTTCTCCTTCTCTGAGGCTTAAGGTACCGGTAGTACAGGGATGTGCCTTCTTCAGAATGCTCTGTTTGCTTGACCTGATTTAGTGTATACTAAGGGTGCTTCTAGCTCCACGGACCTTGTGAATGTTCTGAGGTTTTCCTGTATGTTGCATCTCCCCTCAATTATACTGTAATCTACTGGAGAGTAGGTTTTGCCTCCCAAGTCTTCTGCCTCCCCTCAAAGTACCTAGACAAGACTCCGCCCATAGGAAAAGGGGCTGTATTTCACAGTGGTAATGATGACTGAACCTTATGGCCCTTTAATGTTTACAGATGTTTGTCATATATGATCTCCTTCCTTCTATTCTCAAAGAACCATTTAACCCCACCCCACAACAGCCCTATGACATGTTATTAATGTTTCATTTTTTCAATTGAGGAAGTCGAGATTTGAAGAAGTGATATGGTTTGCCCAAAATATTATATAAACATTGATATGTCTTCTGTCTCGCCCCAGATGCCCAAGGGTTTGGGTCCTGTCAAGAAGTCAGCGGGGAAATAGTCCCTTCCTCAGAGGTAGCTAGACCCACCCACCCCAAAGAGGCTCTGTAACTCAACCAATCAGCAATGACACCCCAACAGACAGCTCCAGCCCTAACTGTGCTCCCAAGATCCTGACCCACATTTCAGACAGTCTATTTATCAGAACACCAACTCCCACTGGTACCTGATGCTCAGCATACCCCAAACCAATGAATGCATCACTTTCCCTTTAAACTGGCCCGTCCTCCTGACTCCCTATCAATCAACTAACATGTCTTAGGTGCTAGGCACTGTGCTGAGTGCTGGGGAAACAAAAGATAGCAATGTTCCTATTTGGAAACCTTGCCCAATGGGTTGGAGGTGAGGGGAGTAGGGCATGGAGAGGACTGGACAACCTTCACCAGACACCAAGAAAATGCTTGTCAGGCCAATACAATATTGAGGTGTGGGAGTGGCAGGGGAGGGCAGGAAGGGAGAAATATTGAGATGAAACTCAACCATACCCTCTCTCTGCTTCATAATAGCCCCTTATGACCAATAGAGAGGAAACATAGTGTAGTGGGTAAGGGTCTGCCTAAAGAGCTAGCAACATGTGGGTTCAAGACCCCCCTTGAACACATACTGGCTGTGTGACCTTGGACGAGCTATTTAACCTCTTGGTGTGCCCAGGCAAAAATCTAAGACCTTAACTTACAGAGGAGTTGCTGATCTGCATTAGTGGAGAAAGATCCCACAGTGAGAGTTCCTACATAGATAAAATCACAGGTTTAAAAAAAGTCTGTACAGAATTTATGTTCTTCAAAGTATTTACACAGAAATCATCACAATGGGACACAAGATCACAGAATGCCAGAGCTGTAAGGGATCTTAAAAATTATCTGGTTCAATATCATCTTTTTTACAGATGGGTAAACTGAGAGTCAGAGAAGGGAAGTGACCTGCCTAGGATCACATAAAGCTAAGATTAAAACTCAATACTCCTGACTCCTGGTCTAATACTTTTTCTACTATAATATATTCTTTCCTCCTCTCAGCATTCATGAGATGTATTATTATCTCCATTTGACAGATTAGGGAACCGAAGCTGTGGCTTGCCTGAGATAACACAGTAAATTGGTGATGGGATCAAGGCTCCAGATCTGCCTCCTAATCCAGGGCTCTCTCCTACTTTATTATCAGGATTGTCCTCAAAGACCATGGGGCTGATGCTCAGACACTCTCCATCTGGGTCTTCCCATCCTGCCCCAAAGGAAGACGACCTATGGGGAAAATTGAATGTCTCTGGCAGTGGTCCTTATCTTTCTTTGCTGAGAGAAAAGTCAAGGACAAGAATTAGTTCTCTGAGTGTGGGCTCAGGATCCTGGCCATATCCTGGGAATATCCCAGGCCATATCCTTGGCTTCCAGGGAAGCCAAGAGTACTGGGCGTGGAAGGCTGTGCATCCTTATGTCCCTGGATGTGCCATATCCTCCTCCACCCTACCCTTTTGGTGACTTGGGCCATGTGGAGGGAAAGGACTGGCTGAACAGGTGAGAGAGGAAAGCTGTGGAGATCTGGTAGGAGAATGATGGCTCTGGAGCCCAGGCCGTGTCATCTGCGAAGAGCTGGAGGTCTCAACCTCCAAATCAGCGTGTCGCTTCTGGGCACAGAACCACAGGAAGAGGAAGAAACCTGTGAGCAGCAAGATGGCAGGTCACTGGAAGAATCAGATGAGTAATCTTGGCCCTAGAGTCACAAATATCCTTGTGGAAGGATCTAATCATTCCCCAGGATCCTAGGCTGTGCACAATCCCCATCTCCGGAAAGGGATTTGAAGATAGTGGAGCATTTAGAGGAGACTGTAGGGAATGGATCCAGTTTTCCCAATAGGGGAGCATATGAAGTGTTGGCTAGTTTAGACAACCTTTGACTAGGAAAGCTGGGCAAATTCCAAGGATCTTAGGCTAATGAGTTGCCCTAGAAGATACCCAAGACATATGGAACTAAAGCCAACTTTCTGAAGATTGGTGAAGTCAAGACGAAGGCCAAATCTGAGAGGTGCTGATCTGTACCCTCCCCCAAAGTAGTTTCATGGGATTTAAAACTGGAAGTAAATTAGAATTGAAAGGATTCTGGCTCCAGTGTTGGAAAGGGATCTGAGAAACCATCTCATCCAATTCCTCCATTTTATGGAAGAGGAGAGTGACTTGTCCAAAGCCACACAGATAGTGAGGGACAAGCAGGAGTAAATAATAAGCACTACACCAAAGTCATGGCATGGTCTCTGGCTCCCTCCACCTCTCCCCCAGGTGGCAAATGCCCAGAGATCCCCTGCAGTCCTTCCAACCCTCCATCTGATCACCCAACAAGAAATGGGAAAGAGATGAGCAGATGGTTGTGAGGTCACTGTCTCTCCTTCCCTACAGAGATAAATATCGCGACACCCACACTTAGCCTCCCTGTACTTCCCTCAGTCAGGGTCAAGAAAGGGGACAACTGACCATATAAGGAATTGAAGATGGTGGAGAGGAAGAGCTGAGGCAGCAGAAAACCATGGAAGTAGAAGAAAGCTAGGCTCCAGGTGGTTCCCAGCAGCATGCTCAGGCCCAGGACAGTGATGATGTCCCGGCAGATTTGTGATTCCCACTTCTTCTCCCGACAGCGCAGGCCATGAAGCATCTTTACTGCCCATATGAGAATGACCAGGTTGAAGAGGGAGGTGACTCCTGCATAGCCCACAACAAAGACCCAGTGGATTTCCATTGATTTGATCCAGCATCTGGTAAAGAAGGAAAGAAAGGTTTTTAAAAATCCAGTCTGAGCTAGGAAGGGAAGCCAAGCACACTAGCTCCCACCACACCCTGTAGCCACAACTCCCTGGAATAACTCAGGGCTCCCCAGGCCCTGAGATTTGCAGGTACACTCACATGGAAGGATTCTGAGAGTTGGTGTCATTCTCCTTTATTTGGATCTCATAGCGCCCATATGCAGAGCTCTTCAAAAGGAGAAGGAGCAGCACTATGAAGCCAGGAAATCCTGTTGGGGCAGGATGGCATCAGATATGAGAGACTGGCCAAGAGGTTGCCTTGTGGTTTAGCCATAGAGGTCAGAGCAATGGAGCCATGGAAGAGGACCTATTGGATACCCTGAGATAGACTCTCAACTTTCTGGGAAGGATAATAGACGTGACTACTTTCTAAGCCCTGGCATTCACTACACCCACAGACAGTTAGGTGGCACAGTGGATATAGTGCTGAACCTGGAGTCAGGAAGACCTGAGTTCAAATCTGACCTCAGATACTTACTAACTGTGGCCCTGGGCAAGTAACCCAACCTCTGCCTGCCTTAGTTTCCTTAACTGTAAAATGGAGATAATAGTATCTCCCAGGATTGTTGTGAGGATCAAATGAGATAATGTGTAAAGTGCTTAGCACATAGTAGGCACTTAATAAATGCTTATTTTATTCCATACTGGATTCCAATCACCTCTTATCACACACATACACAGATCAGTTGTATGTCTATTTTTTGAGGTCTCTAACAATACCCCTCCTAGAAGTATAATCGATCAATTCTCTTCCCAACCACCCACAAAATGCTCAGATGTTTTAAAGGAGGTCCATTCTTCTAATTGGTGACTGGACCACTCTTGCAGGAAGGATCCCAGCCATGCTTCACTTCATTCATGACTCAACTCTCTGGACCCCTCTCCTCCTTACCAGCCACCATGCCCCTGAATGGATACCCTTTTCCTTTCTCAGCTCTCTTTTATGTACTGACTTCCTCCATTAGAATGTGAAGTACTTAAAAGTAGAGCCTCTCTCATTTGTTCATATTTGCATCCCTAGTGAATAGCACATACCCTGTTATACAGTAAATAATTAATAAATATTTTTTGTCTCTCTATTCCTCTCTCTGTCTCCTCAGCCCATCCTACTAACAGAGTTTTTGTCTCTGCTTTTTTTTTCTATCTATCCAATTATCCATCCATCCACTCTCCTATCCATCTGTCCATCTATCTACTCTTCTATATATCTATGTATCCATTGATTCATACATAATCCACCTCTCCATCTGTCATCTATGTATGTGTCATCTATCCATCCATCTACCCACTCTCCTATCTATCCATTCCCCTATCTGTCATCCTTTCTATCAATCCATCCATCTACCCACTCTCATATCTATCCACCTACCCTCCTACCTCCTCTCTTTCTCTGTCTCTGTCTCTGTCTCTGTCTCTGTCTCTCTTTCTCTCTGTCTATCTGTGATCTGGCACTGATTGTACTATTGAGGAAGTGGATGGAGGTGATTGTGGTAAAGGAAGAGGAATAAAAGGAGGGGGCAGGACAGATAGAGTGAAATAGAGGACAAGGAGTGGAAGAAGGAGGGAGGGATTAGTGCTTACCCCAACCAAGGGTACAGAGCTTGAGGATATATCTCTGGATGTAGATGTTATAGACCCGGACAAGTAGCAGGTAGAGGTTGAAGCCCTCAATGGCCATCCAGGTGAGGCAACTGAGCAGAGTATAGTGCAGCAGGGCAGCCATGGCCACACATCCCACTGGCTGGAAGGTCATGGAAGGGCTGATCAGAAAGGCGATGTTCAAGAGTATGACAGACACATGGAGGTTCATGTGGATATAGGTTGTGGAATTGTTCTTCTTCCTGGAATGAGGTATGGGTGGTCCCTCTGCTATAAGTCTAGGCCAAATAATTCAACCCCACCAAGGATCAAAGGATCTTGAATGAGAGTTGGAGTGGGAATGAATCTACAAAGTTGCCCACCCTTCCCCATACCCAGTGACATCAGCAGGACCCAGCTAGTCATCAGGAGTTCCAAGACCAGAAATCTTGCCTCTGAAAACTCTAGCTACCTATCTGTCATTACTGGAATTTGTCTATCCCCAGCATAGACTAGCCTACTCTCTATACCATCTTGGCATCATTTTCCATCAAAGCAGGGACAGGAAGACCTAACTCTTATTGGGAACCACTTTTGGGACTTATCTCTTCCTGGAGATCCCCCCCAAAAAATAGGTACTACTGTGTTTGCCACTTCCAACCATACTTGGGAGTCCTGAGGTCTCTCTCATATTGGAAAGTCAGGGAACAGAGGAAACAGGCTCAGGCAGGCAGAGAGAAAATCTCCAGCTTACTGCCTCAGTGCTCCTATCTGTTCAGGGAAAATGGCTGAGAAACTGGGGAGATATTTACCTGGAGTGTTCTATGATCCCCAGATTGAAGGTCCTGGGGAAGCATCCAAGGATTCTTCTGAGATGAGGAAGTGAGTAGATTAGGATGGGACAACCTAGCTCAAATTCCCAGGATGCCAGGACACAAAGTGTACAGAAGTTCAAGCTATGGCTGACCCTTTCCCACTCTGGAGAAGGACAAATAGGATAGATGCCCTCCCCAACCCATCCTACTAACTAAGCATATGCCCTGTTGTTACATAGAACTTTCCATCTTCCTTCCTTTCCCTGAGGAAGACATGAAAAGGAGAGATCAGGGTAGGAATTTTTTCTTGGTGGAGAGGGAAGAGAGATTTGACAAGGATGGAAACCTGATGACATGGAAATTTAATGGAATTACATGGAAATTTGATCCCTAGAGGAACCTGCCACTGGTGCCAGGGAGTACCTGGAATAGAAATGGAGTAGGATGGTGAGCAGTGAAGCCACAATGGACAAGCTACAGCCCACAATGGAAATGTAGGTGAGTGGAGTCAGTAGCTCCTTGCTAATCTTGGTTGATGAGAGTTTCTGAAAGAGATGAAATGAGAGACGAGGGGATAATTGAATGAGATCCAGACTTGCCAAATAGATGAGATGACTACCCTAGGGAAGTGTTTCCTCTCTGGGACCAGTGTGGATGGGTGAGGTCAACCTTGGACTGGCCACTTACCATGAGGACAGCAAAGTAAGTGAGGTGGTCACAGCTACACAGGACCTGATATGGTGATACCAAGATGGTATTGCAACCTGTGGTGCTCCAGGCACCCCAACTGGCTTTTCCTGGGGCAAGAAGAATAGAAGCGGCTAGGAAGTGAGGCTCCATTCAGTTCTCAATTCAATTCAACAAACGTGTTAGGTATCAAGGAACATTGACTCTCAATTATCCAGGTTGGGGTGGGGTGGGAAGTACGGGTGGTTTATTTGTGGCAAATGTGGCATCACAGAGTCTTAGTTTTACTGTTAGAAAAGACCATGGATATAATCTAATCTAACCCCTTTCTTTCTACAGTAGAAAATCAACACTCAGAGATGTTCAGTAATTTTTTCAATGTCACATATCTAGCAATGCCGGAGTTGAGATTCAAAACCAGATCTTCTGACTCCCATTCCAGTATCTTTCCACTCTACCCAAGCTGAGCTTTCCCTTCACCATCCCCTCCCATTAGCCAATGTCAACTTGAAGAAGTCAGGCTAAGTTTAATACTGGCCTGAGTATGTCAGAATTAAAAAGGACTTTTGTGAAGGAGTAGGAAAGAAGATAGATGAGGCAGGAAAAGACCCAAAAAGGCAAATATAAATAAAACCATGCCTAGGCCTTGGTTTCTCATCTGAGAAATCGGCATAATCTCTACCACCACTCCCAGTATGGTGGTAAAGATAAAAGGAAATCAGATGGATGATGGCCAAACAAGTGAATATAATAAAATATTACTGTGCATACGACAAAACCAGAAAAATACAGAGAATCATGGAAAGACTTATAAGAACTGATACAAAGTGAAGTAAGCAGAGCCATGAAAACAATCTACATGACATTTATAACAATTAAATGGGAAGAACACCAAGCATCAAAAAATTGAAAATTAATGTTGCTAAAGTACAAAGAACAAGCTTAGCCCCAAAGAAGAGATATGAGGTGGTGCTGTCCCCAACTTTTTTTTTACAGTAGTGTCTATTGGGGGAGGATGATGCATAGTCCATGGGTGCTACATAAAATACTATACTTTTTTCCATACATTGTTTGGTTTTACTTCTTTTTTCTCTCTTCCTCTTTCTTTCTTATCAAAAAAAAAATCTTGGTTTTAAGAAATGGCTCTCTGGAAGAGGAAGAGGAAGGGAAACAGGAGATATCTATATGATGAAAAATAAACCTTCAAAAAACATCAATAACAACTATTTTTTAAAACAAAACCAAAAAATGAGATCAGAAATAGGAGAGAGTTTAGAAAGCTAAAAAGTACCTCTGAGCTTCCCTTCACCACAGCCAATAGCAGTGCTAAGCTGACTTTTTAATACTTTTAGACAGGTCTGGCTACTTTAAACAGAACTGGCTTCTTCTAGCAGCTATAGGTAGCTATGGCTTCCCCTGAGAGCCCCAACACTCTGTAGCCTTGATCAACCTTTGCTAACATCTTCAGCCTCTGACAAGCCCTCCCAGGCTTGAGCCCTCTGTTGAAATTCACCTGCTCCTTCCTTCCAGAAGACACACGTCAAATCATATCTCTCCTGTGAGGGAGGAAAGAGAAGGTCAAGTGAGAAAGTCCTGGTCAGTTGTCAAAGTCAGTGTCAAGGATGAAAGGGCTTCTATCCTCATTTCTTCTCTAACTGAGCTTGGTCTGAAATAAGTCCTTGTCTTGAGTGAGAGCTACCTATACCTACAGAGCTGGGCAAACTCCCACGTTGTTAAGCCATTGGATAGAATGGTCTGGGATTAATATAAGCAGGTAAGGCATTTTCTGTGTAATGTCACAGGAAACTGGAGAAGGGAGCAAATACAGAAGCTAGCATCCCTCCAGCCATCTCTTAGAAATCATTGCATCTAACATCTTCATTTTACAAATGAGGAAACTGAGGCCAAGAGGTTAAACAACTTCACCATGACCACACAGCTAATAAGTAATGGAAATAAGATTCAAACCTGGGTTGTCTGACTTCAAATTCAGTTGTCTTAGCCATAGAATGTTAGAGCTAGAAGGGATCTCGGGGATCTGACTCCCTTATAAGACAGATGAGGCCCATAAAAAGGAAATGACTTACCCAAGATCACTTGGTAAGTCAGTGGAAGAGCTGGGACTGACTATAGGTCTCTTGACTCCCATAGAGGGCTTTTTCAATGCCAACTGGACAAATGCCCCATTGCATTGTGGGAAAGTCCAAGCTACCCACTGGGACCTGAGATTTCTAAGCCCAACTTCAAGATACTTTGCTTCCTAAAAATTCTGTTTTGAGGTTCATTCCAATCAAAGACAGTCCTCGAATCTCAATCCTATGGCTAATCCCAGACATTAAATAAACATTGATGGAGCCCTGACTGGCTAAATTATTTGTCACATTATCAAAATACAGTGATTTGGAAATAGTTACAAGTATTTTGTTTTGTACCAGCAACTTTCAAAGTGGTGTGTGTGTGTGTGTGTGTGTGTGTGTGTGTGTATTTGGAGTGGTTCCCCTCTGCTCACCAGGCTTTCATTGTGCCAAAAGCTGATGTTTATATCCTGCCTCAGGCTGGACACATTATGGTTCACCAAACTGGCTCCAAGGATGTTATCATTGAGCAGAAGACTGTTATCATCATCCTGGAAAGAAGAAAGAAGAAGAGTGATGAAATAGGCAGGTGCACCCCAGAGCCTGCCACCCAAGCACAGGAGTCATGAGATCCCCCAGCTGTCTGTCTTCAGGTCAGCTGTTTTCTCCATGATGCCACTCTTCTCACCCTGGATTTGGGGGCATAAGTAGATCCTCAATGGTGTACTCAGTGCAAGAGGGAGTCAGGGGAAAGGAGGGTTGGTATTGGAAGGGGCAGAGAAGGCAAAGGTTGGCATAGGAAAGATCAAGAATGATTAGATTAGTACAGGAGAGAGTAGAACTAGTGAAGAATGACTCAAAAGAGGGCAGGGAGAGTTAAGCTTGGCACAGGAGAGGGCACAGAGGGGGAAACGGCACAGAAGAGGAAGGGCAGGTGAGGTTTGCTATAAGAGGGACTAGGGAAGACTGGGTCATGATCCCCTTATACTACTACCATTCTTTCACATGGAATCAGGGGGATGGGGACCAAAGTCAGAAGGGTAGAAGACAGAGGGAGCCCAGACAATGGGGCACTCCTGCGAGGGAGGCTGGAGTGATTCCTCCCACCTTGACTCCCCAGGGGCTCTGACCTGGAAGAAATACTTCATGTCAAAGTAGATACAAATTAACCGCAGCTCCTGGGGGGCTTCTCCTGCTTTGCACGCTTGCTGAGTCAGCTCAGTGGGGAACTGCATGATGTGCCTGGTTTGGGCCTAAGGGGGTCCAGAAGAACTATGAGCATTGACCAAACCATTGTAACAAGGATTTGCTGTTCACTTATTTTTTGGGGGGTGGGGTTAGGGAACAAGCCCTTGGGGGAACAGGAAGACATTGGATACCCATTAGAAGGGACATAGTATCCACTGGATGAAATATTCAGGCTCATGTTTCAGGGTTCAGTGTGCTGCACCCTAAACTATACTTGGAGCCTCAGGGGATCAAGACAGATGGTGGAGAGGTCTTTCTGTACCAGTCCTGTACCAGCCCCGGTCCGTATACCATTGGGACCTATGGATAATGGTGCTCCCATCGAATGACCGGTCAAGGAGTCAGTATTGTGAACCAAATAGCTTCTGTGGACAGAGCTCTAGCTGAGCAAAATGACTCTCCCAAGGAAGACAAGAGCCCAGCCAGTGGGAAACTCCCTCTAGGGAGATATATCCTCTGCCCTTCGAAAATGTTCAGTACTAGCATGGTCTCATAGGGCCAGGAGCTACAAGGCACCTTAGAACCTGTCTAAACCCTCCACCTCATAGATGAGAAAACTGGAGCTCAGAGAGGTAAGTAGCCATAAACAACTAATGTATGGCAGAGCTAAGACTGGACCCAAGTTTTCTCCCGCAAAATCCAGAGTTCTTTCCACTACACAAAACTCTTTTCCTCCTTATGCTATTATATAACATTTTCCACTAGGATCTCAAAGCACTTTACTTACACAGTAAAAAAAAAAGTAACTAGCATTTATATTGTACTTTAAGGTATGCAAAACATATATGTTAGTGCATTTTATCTTCACAACAACAAACAGAGGTAGGTGCTATTATTATACCCATTTTACAAATGAGGAAACTGAGGTGCAGAGAGGTCAGTATCATAGGGTCACACAGATAGTGAGTGTCAGAAGGATTCAAATGTAGGTCTTCCATTCTCCAAGTCCCCTCACTTATCTAACATGATTTCACACAGAAAAGAGGCCAGGTTTATAAGAGTTGGTCCCAGGATCTCACTGAGTCACAAGCAAAGACAGGATGATGTTTATGGCATCCTGATCTTTCCCCACCAATGTTTAGGGGAGGGGAATCAAGAGAGAATTGAGACTAGAGGCTGGTCCTGGGGCAACTAGTCAGTTCCCAGAGCCTCTGTACAGGATGTGGAAGGAGCTAATGAAGGAGGTGCCACTGACCTTCTTTAGGTATGAATTGCTGATTGTGAGCCCGGGGAAGTCACAGGTGAGCTTGAATATCAGCGACTGAATGTTATTGGTCTGAAGAGTGACATTCACACTAGAGAAATTGACATTCTTCAGCTTAGCCTCCAATGAGTGGATTAATCTGGGAAAGGAGGAGGATGATTATCAGGTGATGGAGAAGAAGAGAGGGGAGGACAGGAAGCAGTGAGCCCCCCGCAAGGGTGGGGAGGAGACAGGAGCCATGGATGAAATGACTGAGGAGGTCAAGTCAGGATTCCAACTCCAATGGTCTTGGCCCTATGTCCTTCATGTTTTCCTCCACATCCCAGTGCCTCCGTCTTTCTAGTGTGACAAGAGAAACGGTCTTAGAGTCTAAAAACCACAATTTGAATTCCAAGTTTGACCCCTTTCCCAAGTGGGTGGCTTTGGATTAAGAGCCAGCATTTTCCCTTTGTGTTTCAGTTTTCTTATCTGTAAGATGAGAATAATGCAATTCATCCTCTTTATCTGACATGCTGGTTGTGAGGAAAACATTGGCTTCCTCCGTAGAAATGTCTTCTCATAACTATCGCTACCCAAGATCATGTAGCCCATGGGTGTCAGGCCTAGGGCTAGAATCAGATCTCCTGACTCCCCTGTCTTAGGACTGTACCCCAAGAAGGAGAAAAGGTAGTGGAGAGATAGCTACAGAGGAGAGAGGAAGAAGGGTACTGCCCAGCCCCCCTCACCTTTGGTTATCTTGACGTTTCCGAGAGAAGGTTCTAGTTTCTAGAAACTTCATGTATTCAACAGTTTCATTTGTTGCCCTGTGGGGAGCTGAAGTCATATTCATGCAGGTTGCAGGGGGCCTAAGACCCCAACTTGGACTTAGCGCTTCTATTCCCCCATCTCCCCTGGGCTCAGGATGGACTGGACATTGTTATAGAAAAACTCATCCTTTTGTCTTTTTTGCCCCATTCTCTGGTCTGGGTGGCCTCTCCCTACATCCATCTAGGGCCTAGCCCCTTGGCCAGGTCCCTGAGGTGCCCAGGCCTGTCCTCCCACCAACCTTCCATGCCCCCAAGCTTTGTGGGTCTCTCACAAAAACGTAAGTGCATACACACTTGTACACACTCACAGGGTCAGAATCTGACTTAGATCCCTGTCCCCAGCTCAGTAGGTGAAATGTGAGTTGGCTTACCTTCATTAGCCCAGGCCCAATCAGCCAGAAGACACAGGTATAAGAAGGTCTGCTTGGGGAGCGTCATAGTCCTACTGTCTCTGTGTCTCCACTGCACTTGTAGACTTTCTGTTTGACTCACATGCCTTAAAACTGAAAGGGATGTTAGATGTCATTTAGACCAAACTTCTCATTTCTCAGAGGAGAAAACTGGCACAGAGGGCAAGTGAATCATTCAAAGTCTTATTACCAATTGGGGACATGTACTAATTATTTGTTCTCATTATCAAGTTCTCCTCCAATTTACTGCTCAGAGAGCCGCAGTCTTCCAGAGTGGGAAATGTCCAGGATCCAACCCATCATCGATAGAAAATCTCCCCTATAGGAGGGAGAGATGTTCAATTACTTCTTTCTTCTTAGTCCCTAAATCTTCTATATCCCCATCCATGCTGTTCACTATACTCTAAAGATTTAGATAGCCCTTTGATGTGAATAAATGCCCATTTATGTTATATTGTATTCCTGCCTTGTACTTCAGTACTCACTATGTGCAAAAGAATATGCAAAATGCTGAAGTTTCTCCAAAGTAAGGTGGGATAGAGGTGCCTCCTTTAGCAGGAACCATGGTGCAGTAGCCCTTAGAAGTAGTTTTCTGTGGTCAGACCCTTGGCATCACTCATGGAGTAACTCTTCTCCTGAGCACAGCTGGGGCACTGTTCATCCATGTTATAAACGACAGACAACCATTGGAGGTGTCTGAGGTCATTTGTGAAACTCCAGAATCTTAGGTTTAATTGTTAACCTTTCACATTTAGGGGGAGTGGTTGTCATTTTTTTATAAACATATTTTATTGAAGGGTAAAAAAAGAATCCCCCCTAAAATATATCTGATGAGTAGTCATCCACTCTTTGCTTGAAGGTCCTGAATGAGAGGGAACCCATTACTTCGAGGTAGACCATTCCCCCTTTGGAAAACTCTACTTGCTTGGAAGATTTTCCTGACATCAAGCCCAAATTTCTTTGAACTGTTCACCCACTGCTTTTGGTTCTGCTTCCCCTCCAGGGCAAACACAATTAGTCAAATCCTCCATCCGTAAGACAGTCTTTCAAATACTTGAAGAGAGCTATTACATTTCCCCTGAGTCTTCTCTTCTCCGGACCAACCAATCCCATTTCCTTCCACCAATCTTTGCCTGGCATGAACTTAAGGCTCTCCACCATCCTGGTTGCCCTTCTCCAGATGCACTCCATCTTATCAATGTCCTTCCTAAACCGTGGTACCAGAACTGAACATAATACCCCATATGTGTGTTGTGTCCAGAGCAGATCACTGGGCGACTATCACCTCCCAGTTCCTGGAAGTTACATGTCTCTTAATGCAGCCTGAGGTACTGTTAGATTTTTTTTGGCTGTCATCTTTCACTGTTGACTCACATTTGAACCTATAGCCCATTATACTGTCCAAGATCTTTTCCCAGAACAACAGCTGTCTAATCACAAGTCTTTCAATTTTATTTTCGGATGCTTTGCTGTGGTATGAGGTAACTTTGTATTTTTGAACACTATGATGATGAGGCATAAATTGTGGAAGATTATACCATGCTGAGAAGGCTTCAAGTAATTTCCCAGTGGTCAGCAGCAGAGTAGGAAGGTGTCCCATTCCTCTTCTTGCTACTAGACTTCAGAAAAAGTGGAAGGATATATTTCAACTGGCTGTCCCCCTGCCTTCCTTCAAGTTCTAGCTAAAATTCCACCTTCTACAAGAAGCCTTTCCCAATCCCCCTTAATGGTAGTTCTTTTCCTTTGTTAATGGTGGGGTATGGGAAAGATGGGGGCAGGGTGTTGGGAAGGGAGACAGTACCCTTCCTACTACCCTTCCTGGAGGTCTGTGACTCCCTGGGGACACATGCCTCCCTGATCCCAGTAACTTTGTCTTTCCCAAAAAGTTACTTGCCTTCTCAAATTTTCCCAAGGCTAAGAGTCCCCAGGGGAAGAGAGAAGGTGGTACTGGTAAGAATAGGAATAAGGACCAAGTTGAAAATGTGGCGGGTTACTCTGTTAGGGGAGAGGAAGGGAGAGTCTTCAGGGATCTTCTGGAACAGGGACTGGGCCACCCTAGGAATACATACTGTTTCCCTTGGCAATAGCTTGAAGATGAAAGGTGAGAGATAGTGAAGAGCCCAGGTTGACTCCTAGTTTGTGAGCCTGGGGGACTGGGAGGTGGGTGTTCCCCCCTGCAATAAAAGAGAAGGTGGGAGGAAGAAGAGCTTGGTGGAAAGATAATGAGTTCTGCTTAATAAGTCTATTGGACATCCAGTCTGAGATGTCTAAAAGGCAATTGGAGATGTGAGGTTGGAGGCTAGCACAGAGGCTGGGGTGGGATAGGTAGATTTGAGAATCAGCATCAGCACACAAATGGCACTCATGACACTCATCAACTGTGAAAGACTTAGTAACTCTGATAAATGCAATGATCCATGACCATTCCAAAAGACTCATGATGAAAAAATGCTATCACCTCTAGATAGAAAACTCATGGACTCAGAACATTAGCAGAACCTTGATTGGGTGGCAGATATGAATAACATGAACCTCAAAGGAAGAGTGATTACTGAGAAATGAAGGACTGAGGACAAACTGAAAGCATCAATGGGGAGCAAGGAATATTCCAACTCCCCAGCCTTAACTAGTAAGCCAAGGGAAATGAGTGAAGATGTAGCCAGGCAAAGAAAAGGTGGCCAGGGAGGCTGTGTCATCAAGGGGGAACTGGGTTTCATTAAGAGCTAGTAGATGGAAGGTATGGGAGAGGAAAAGATTTAAGATGAAGGGACATTTGTTGTTTATGAAACAGGCATTCCAGAGGGCACAGTGGAAGGGCTGAGTGGAGTTAAGATAAAACTTTGGGGTGGATGAGGGGGATGAGAATGAGGAATTGGGTGGTAGGGGGTGTGCAATGGAGTTTGGATGGTGATATATAGGAGTTCAGAGTCACTGGCATGTGAAACCTATGACCAGGCATTAGAATTTTCATCACTGAGTAGAGAATGCTACTGCTCTCTCCTCGAAGGACAGGAACAGAAGGAGATAAAAGGTCTGAAGTCAAAGGGAAGGCTGCTCTTCTTTGCACTGGGAGTTCTCCACATCTTGATTGGGAGATTGGGTTGGCAGCAGGAGGTGGAAAATGTCTTGTGCTGGTACAAGATGGATGTGGTTCCTTTGGGGCAGATGAAAGACTCCTGGCCCCACCCCCAGCAGCCTTTCTTCAAGGGACCTTTTGCACCCAACACAAGATGGAAGGCTTAAGCCACTAACAGGCATGTGGTCTGAGAGCAGGGAGTTCCCTCCTCCTCTTTGCCTGTTGTACATCCTCTAAAGCATAATTTAAATGCCTCCTCTTCCAAGAAGCCTTCTCTGATGCCCTCTTACCTAAGACCTTCCTCCTCTAGCCTTGCATAGATTTTGTCTCATACCTCTCTGATACACTTATCATGTAATATTATGTATTATTTGTCTGGGCCTCATCCTCTTCCAATAGACTGTAAAAATGATAGTATTTATAGAGCACTTGAAGGTTTGAAAAGCACTCTCTCTAAATATACTATTATATATTAGCATAAATAATATAAAATTATATCATTATATTATATATAATTATATAATATTATATAAAATACAGTATATGTTTATAGTATATTAAGTATACATTAACATGTAGTACATAATTATATATTAATACAATTAATATACAATTATATATTATAATACAAATATGTTATATGTTTATAATATATCTCTCTATAAACTCATTTGATCCTCACAACAACCCTAGGAGGGAAATGCTATTGTTAGCCCCACACATGACTTGCCCAGGGTCTCACAGCTAGTAAATATCTGGTATAGGATTTGAACTCAAGGCTTTCTGACTCCAAGACCTGAAGTCTACCCACATAGCAGCCTATTGGAGAACCTCTCTGAGGGCACAGACTGTCTTCTCTAGACTTAGGCCACTCACAGCACAGTACTGCACTACAGTAAGCGCTTCATAAATATTTGTGAAATTAAATTTATAATTCTGTTGTATGTGTATGAGCAATAGGTCACCTCCACACTCACTAAGTTTCTACCAGGTAAAGTGAAGTCACTCAAAGCAGGGTGCCCAGGATACCCCCATTCCTTTTGGAGTCTCAGACCTGATTTTGCTTCCCTTGAGGAGTGGAAGATTGACATCCCAAAGGGGACTGGGGCTTCCATTCCCCCAGAACCAAATTCTCTAACTTACTGTGGAGATGGAGAATGGATTATGGGGAGGAGAGGCCCCAAGGTCCAAACAGTTGTTTGGTGCTGCTGCCAATGATGGCCGAGAGGAAGGGGAGGCAGGGAGCCAGCTCCACCCCATCCTCAACTATGAGCACCTGGACTGTGGGAGGTCTTTGCCTGGATCAATGGATCCCCAAAGGATCCTTAGGTAGAATCCAGGGGTTCTGTGAACTTAGATGGGAAAAAATGGCATCTTTCTTTTCACTAACCCCTAAATGAAATGGAGCATTTCCTTTTATAGCTCCAACTTGTGAGAAGGTCTCGATTGGTTTCATCAGACCGACACAGGGGTCCGAGATAAAAAAATGATTAAGAATCCCTAGCCTTGAAAGGAAAATGAGCAAGGAAGCTGGAAGATGTGGTGTCTGGTTATGAATGTCCTTGGGAGAGCCGAATAAAGAAGGGATTCTTAGGATTTAGAGTGGCAGCTAGGTATAGAGGATGATAGGGGACTGGAGGACTGGAGTTTGAATCCTGCCTCAGACCTTTGCAAGTTGTGGGACCCAAAGAGGTAAGTCATTGAACCTTGTCAGCCTCAGTTTTCTCATCTGTAAATGGGCATGATAACACTACCTCTTTTGCTATGCTGTTGGGAGGATCATTTGCCAATGTTAAAATGCTATTTGAACATTAACTATCATTATTATTAGAGTGGGGAGGGACTTTAGATACAACCAGTCATAGAGCTGGAGATTTAGAGCTGGAAAGGACCTAAGAGGCCAACCACTTTAACCCCTTCATTTTACATATGAAGTACCTGAGGCAAGAACGGTAAAGTGGCTTGCCCCAGTTACCCAACTAGGAGGTATCTGACCTAAGATATGAACCCTGGTTACCCTGACCCTATCCACTATACCAGGATGCTACCCTCGCCTAAATCTCTAGTTTTACAGAGAAGGAAAATGGGATTTGCCCACAGTCACTTAGCTAGATATTCTCAAAGCAGGAATTCAAATGCATATCCCCAGACTCCAAATCAAATGTCATTTTTACTCTGTTGTGCCATCTTCTTCTGTGAACATCCCCTCCGAGGAAAGTGCAGAAGGGAAAGGGAACTCTACCCCCTACCTTGCAACTGGGGAAATTGAGGCAAAACAAGAACTGACTGATTAAGCAACCTTTCTAATTCAAAACTGTGGTTCCTATCCTTTTACCAGGATGTAACCACTGACCTTCACTTCCTCATGCTATTTGGAGCTCGATTTCTCATCTGGGCTAGAATCACTTCCTGGCAACCCAGCCTCTACAAGGCCCCAACCTCCACCTCTGAGGGACTCCTCTTGTAGACATCTCTCAGTACTTTCTCACTCTAATTTGTAACCCTTATTTTATGTGTCTACTATACCCCTTAAGAGACAGCCAAGGGAAGAATATTACCCCCTTTTACAGATGAGGACTACTGAAGTCCAGAATGGTTAAATAAATTAGAGCTGTAATGAGGGCCCACACATTGCCCTATTGTCAATTTGATTCATTGTTACAGCTCTCTGAGCCTGGAGGAAAAATAACAATAATCTCAATTGACAAGAGGACATTGCGTGGGGGTTGGTTACAGTTAGAGAACATTAGAGATGGAGGGAGTATCAGAGACCATTTAGTCCAACACCCTCATATTACAGATGAGGAAACTGAGGCCCAGAGATGAAGAGTGACCTTAAAATATTAGAACACAGAATGTCAGAGCTAGAAGGGATCCCAGAGACCATTTATTCCAAACTCTCTCTTTGACAGAATAGGAAGCAAGATTGAATTAGGGGGTCCTGGTTTCTACTCTGCCACTGACTCCACAGGGCAATCACGGATCTGGTTTTCTATTTCTTCATCTTTACAATGGGGAACAATAATTCAATCCCACCATTCTCACAGGTCCAGGGGATTGTGGAAGTGAGACTGCTTTGCCAAACTTGGAGCACAGAATGAGTAAGGTCACACTCAACAGCCGGAACGGTAAACCTAAGGCAGCCCCAGAGGCATCGGCATTTGGGTATTGGACAAGTCTGTACCAGCAACTGAGGTGGGGAGGGAATGGCCAGCGGTGGGGAGGGGGGAGGGAGGAGGTGTTACAGAAAAAAAGATGTGGTCTCTCTGTCCTGAGGAGCTTTTTAGCATAGTTGGGTTAGGGAAATTAAGTAACAAAATACAGCCATATGAGTGGACTGGCAGACAAATGATGCAGAAATCCAGGGAGGTCACAATAGACTAGAATGGGCAGGTAAGGCTTTCTAGAAGAGGTGGGATTTAAACAAGGTCTTGACCTTGAAGTTCAGGAAGGCTTCAAATAACTTACAGGGTCATAGGGTTTTGAGCTGGAAGAGACATTAGGATGTGTGCACTAGAAAGGATCCCAAAGCACCAAATGTTAGACTAGACCATACCTCAGAGATACTCACATTCAGCTCCCTCATTTTACAGATGCAGAGACTATAAGTAGCATTTGAATCGAAATGACTCTAAATCTGTCACTCTAAACTATAGTAGATAAGGGATATTAAGACACAAGATTGCAGACCATAACTACCCATCAGGCTTAGACTAAACCCCCAGGATCAGTTAGGGATGCACCAAGGAGCCCCTGGCACCAACTAAGATGGAGGAGAGACAATGAATGGATTTGGTGTCTGGGGAGGTCTAGAACAGAGCACCAAGAGGACCCTCTGTCCCCCAACCCTGGAGTATCACCAAGTCGCTGCCAGCCCAGAAAGAGAGCGACAGCTGAAGCCTAGGCAGAGAGAGAAAGACAAACAGACAGAGACAGAAATAGAGACAGAAAGAGAGAGAGAAAGACAGACACAGAGAGACAGAGATAGAAACAGAGACAGAGAGAGAGAGAGAGAGAGAGAGAGAGAGAGAAAATGAGTAGAGATAGTGGAGGCCAGAAAGATGGGAAGAGATAGAGCCATACTGACCTGAGCCTTGGGGAAGAATGTTGCTTCTGCCAGTGCTGCAACTCTAGTCTTTTGAGTTTTTCAGAAGAAAAGAGGAAGTTGACATTTCAGCTGCAGCTGCTAATCGGCCTCTTCAAGCAGCATTCACTATCAAATAGATCCTAGAACCCACTTCTCTTTTTGCCTTGTAAATGAGAGGGTTGGAGGAAGGAGAAAATTAGAGCATCTGTTCCTCCTTCTCCTTCTTGTGCCTTGGATTGGGTTTCCCATAACTTTAACCCTGGTGTATCGCTATGGGTTCACATCATCCCTACTCACACACTTGAGTGTGTGAGTTTACGGGCTGTAGTGGAAAGAATGCTGCAGCTTTGGTGGTAGCAAAGAATAGGAAACAAATCAGGTGATTATGGATCATTAGAAACAATCTTCTTAAAATCTCATGTCCTCAATTAAAATATCCTAGAATTTGTGGTACATGAATATAATGGAATATTATTATGCAATAAGGAATTGATAAATATGAAGAATTCATAGAAGTAAGGGAAGATTTATATAAATGGATGCAAGAGTGATGTAAACAGAACCAGGAAAACAATGTACAAAATGACTATGATGATATAAATGTAATGAACAATAAAATAAAACTGAAAGCTATGTTGTTATGGCCAAGTGTGAACCTGGGGAAAAGTTGAGAAAATGAACCTTCATCCTTTTATTGAACAGGCAGAGAACCTAGGGTATGAAATGTTTCATGTGTTGTCAAGCAAAGTCAGTGTGTCCTCTGGTTTTGCTGAGCTGCTTATTTTTTTTATATCTTGGTTATTAGGAAAGGCTTGAAAAAAGTGGTGAGGAGTACAAATGGAAGTAAATATGGTATAAAAAAATCAATATAACTGAAAAATGAAGACTGCTAAAGTCAGAAAAGACCTGGCCTCTGATCCTACCTCTGACCCTAGCTGAGGTTACTTAACCTCAGATTTAAGTAACCAAGTCACTTGTCCCTGAGTCTTAGTTACCTCATCTGTAAAATGGAAATAATCATATCTGAAGTAAATGCCCTTCCAGGCTGTTGTGAGAATTAAATGAGATGGTGGGAAGATGTCCCCAAAACACTCCACTGGAACTTAAGAGGTACACCATTCTACTAAGAGATAGAAGAAATTGCCTCTAGACTCCCCCACAGCTCCCAAAATCCACAGAGAGTCCTGATTCCTGTAGAGACACTAGAATAAATAAGCTAGGCAAGTCAAGGGTGAAGAGCAACTAAATAACAAAGTGGAAATAATTAAATATGTGATTAATAAAATTGAAAGCAAAAAGACCATCCAATTGACAAGTAATCCTAGGAGCTGGTTTTTTTTTTTTAGTTACTAATAAAACAAAGTTAGCTAACCTGACTTTTAAAAAAAGAGAGGGAAACCAAACAATTGAAAAGGAAATAAAGGAAATTATCAGAAACTATTATGCCCAACTATATGCTAACAAAACATATAACTTAGAGGAAATCCCTGAATACTTACAAAAATATAAATTATCCGTATTAATAAAAGAAGAAACAAACTATTTGAATTTTCTAAAAAGTCAGAAAAAGAAATTAAACAATCCACAAACAAATTCCAAAGGGGGAAAAAACTCTAGAACTAGGTATATTCACAAGTTAATATTATCAAACATTCAAAGAACAATTAATTTTCATACTCTGTGAGTTGTTTGCAATAATAAGGTACTCTTCCAATCTCTTTCTATAGCACAGATGTGGTCTTAATACCTAAATTAGGGAGAGAGAAAAAAAGAAAAAGGAAACCAAAGACCAATATTTGTAATAAACATTGATGCAAAATTACACACACACACACTAGCAAGTTGCCTACATATTAGAAAAGTTATATTACAACATATCAAAAAGGTTATGTACTATGATCAGTTTGGCTTTATACCAGACATTCAGAGTTAGTTCAAAATAAGGAAGTTTTCAGTTGTGTCTAATTCTTTGTGACCCCATTTTGGGGTTTTGTAGGCAAACATATTGGAGTGGTTTGCTATTTCCTTCTCCATTTTACAGATGAAGATCTGAACCAAATAGAGTTAAATAATGAGTAACACAGCTACTATGTGTCTGAGGCCAGATCTGAACTCAGAAAGATGAGTCTTCTTGATTCCAAGTCCACTGCTCTATCTTCTTTGCCACCTAGCTACCTCCAAATAAGGAAGATCATAAATATAATATGACATTGTAATAATGTATATAATAAAAACCATTTGATTCAAGCAATAGATTTTGAAACGGCAAAATCCAATATTTGTTTCTATTGAAAGCTCTGGAAATCATAAGAACCATGGATCTTTCATTAATATGATAATTAATATTCATCTAAATCCAAGACCAAACATCCAAGACCATCATCATTGAGGACTTCAGCAACACTCATTCTGGTTTCACAAAAACTCAGCCTTGTTAGAGCTTGTTTGAATGGGGAAAAGTTAGAAGTCCTTACAATAATATCAGGGGTAAAGGAAATATGTCAATTATTACCAATACTATTTAGCACAGTATTAAAAATGCTAGTTATAGGAATAAAATAAGAAAAAGTATTGAAGGAATAGGCAAAGAAAAAACAAAATTATCACTTTTACAGATGTATGATGGTATACTTAAAGAATCCTAGTGAGTCAACCAAAATTAATTGACATAAATAATAACTTCAACACTGTACACAGTAACAGCCATGTTGTGCAATGACTAATATTGATAAACTTAACCCTTCTCAGCAATACAAGGATATAAGACATCTCCAAAGGCCTCATGATGGAAAATTCTATCTACATCCAAAGAAAGAACTCTGAAGTTTGAATACAGATTGAGGCATACTATTTGCTATTTTTTTTTCTTCTGTTGTGTTTTGTTTCCTCTTTCTGGTGGTTCTCCTATTGGTTCTAATTCTTCCTTACAATATCACGAATGTGAAAATATGTTTAATAGGAATGCATATGTATAACCTATATCAGATTGCATGCCATCTTAGGGAGGAAAGTAAGGAGGGAGGGGGAGAAAAATTTAAAACTCAAAAACTTGTGGAAGTGATTGTTGATAAATCAAAATAAATTAATTTTAAAAAATAAATAATAACTTTAGTAAAGTTGTAGGATATAAGATAAATCCACATAAATCACCAGCTTCTGTCTATAATTAACAAGCCCCAACAAAAAAGCTAGAAAGAGAAATTCCATTCAAAATAACTACAGAAACTATCAAATATTTGGACATGTACATACTAAGATTCTGCATGAATCTCGTATGTATGAATCTAACTACCAAAAAACTCTTTACAGAAATAAAGAGAAATGTAAATATTTGGAGAAACATTAATTTCTCAAGAGTAAGTCAAACCTATAGGATAAAAATGAAAACATTACCTAAAACCAATTTATTTATTCAATACTATCCCAATTAAACTCCCAAAGAATTTTTATAGACCTAGGAAAAGGAATAACAAAATTCATTTGAAGGAACAAAAGTCAAGAATCTCAAGAATAATAATGAAAAAGTGGGAAAAAAGTGGGTGTATTAGTATCAGATATCAAACTATATTATAAAGCAGTAATCCTTAAGATTATTTGGTACTATAAAAAGAGAGAAAGACCTATCAGTAGGACAGATTGTTGTTTGTCCATGACATCAGGAAGGAGATGGAAAAGTCACTAGCCTCACTCTCTCCTCCAGAGAATGGACCCTCATCTGGGTCCAGTGGCAAGATCAGGACAACTGGAAATGATCCTGGATGCAGTGGGAGGCCTTAGACTTTTTGAGCTAAGGTCTTTTCGGGGTCTCAGCTTGTCTAAGGCAACACCCATTCAGCGATTAAGGCTAGGTAAAAATGAGGCAAATAATAGCCTCTTTTACCTTGTCAAAGAAATAAAAACAGATTAGGCAGACAGCATATGGAGGCAAACAAACACAAAATATACTTTTTGATAAGCACTAGCTACGGCAGCTAGGTGACTCAATGGATTGAGCACTGGGCTTGGAAACAGGAAGACTCATCTTCATGAGTTCAAATCCAGATTCAGTTACTTACTAGCTATGTGACCCTAGGCAAGTCACTTAACCCTGTTTACCTCAGTTTCCTTATCTGCAAAATGAGCTGGAGAAGGAAATGGCAAACCACTCCAGTATCTTTGCTAAGAAACAAAACAAAACAAACAAACAAACAAACAAAAAAACCAAAAGGAAACCTCAAATGAGGTCATGAGGAGTCAGACAGTACTGAAATGACTCAACAACAACAAACCTAAGTTACTTGGAAAAGACTATTTGACAAAAACTGTTGGGAAAACAGGGTAGCCATGCTTCGATACGTGCTCAGAGTTCATCAGTTCTCTGTCTGGAGGTGGATGGTATTCTTCATCACCCATGCCCAGTGAGCAAAGTCCATGCTTAGTCAATGCCTATCAATTGATCGATTCATGTGCTAGAATTCATCTAGCCATTCTCCTCAATGGTGGGCACCTACTTTATTTCCAGTTCGTTCTTTGTTGCCACAAAAAGTGCTACTATAGATATTTTGGTGAATGTTAGATTTTTCTTTCTTTGACATTCAATTTAATCTTATTCTACCTGGATAGAAATGTTAGAAATATACATTACCATGCAAACAAAGGAAGCCTCCAAGAAGGAACAGGAGAAATTTTTTGTTGTTGTGGGATTCAACACCTTGACAATGGAAAACAGATGGACAGTCATTACAGAAAATGGCAAGTATGCCTAAGATAGGCCAAGAGAAGAGATGCAAATGGCCAGGAATGCAGTGAGGTAAACCAAGGCTGTTGCCATCATCATTGAGGACTTCAGCAACACTCATTCTGGTTTCACAAAAACTCAGCCTTGTTAGAGCTTGTTTGAAAGAGTTGATTCCCAAACCACCTTGAAAGGAAATGCCACTGTACAGATTTAGAAAGGTGGCTGAGATATTCTTCTCTGTGTTCTTATTATTTATTTTTGGGTTTATTAAATATTTTATGATCCAATGCTATTCTTTGCCTGGGTTAGTTAGCAAGACTGTCCAGACTTGCGTTAGCTTCAGAAATCTTCAATTTTCTGTCAGTGTGGGAGTCAAATAGTAGAACAGGCATTAAA